TACATTCTCCGAGAACCTCTCGGCCCACCCCACCGGTCCCTTACACAGCCCTCGTCTCTGATTGGGGGCCCCCCTCCACTAGCCCCACCTCTGGATGATGCAGCCGCTTCCTTCGGAGTCCCAGCGCTGAGGGGGCGTGGCTGGGCGTGGCTTCGGCTGCGTATTGTCATGGAGACCAGAAGCCGTCCGCCGCTGAGGCGGGCGGCTGTGAGCCAGGCGGAGCGGCGCGCCGGGCCGGAGCCCCGGGGAGCGCGCGACGGCCTGAGGCTGCCTCTCGGGCTGACCGTTCCGGGTTCCGGGTAGGTTCGGGTGTCTGCAGGGAGCGTCTCCGCCCCGACGCGAGGGTCCCCGCCTCCTGCAACCGCACCGCCCCCGGCTCCGCCCGCTCAGCCCAGCTAACGGTCGGAGCGGCCTGCCACGAGGGAGCGTCCGCGGCCCGCGCAGAGCGGCGCACCAAGCGGGTGTCTTGGACACGGCCGGGCCCCACGCGTGGGCCGCCAGAGCGTGAGACCCGCCAGGCGGGTGCTTCAGTCCGCGTGCAGGAAGGCACGCGTGAGCGTGTCCCCCGGGCCCACGCGTGTCCCCCTGAATCAGTGTTTCGGCTCTCGTCCAGGACGACGACTTCTGAAAGCGAGCCAAGGAGGTTTGTGCCACCGAGAGCCCGAGTCTGTCACGCAGACATCCTCATTACATAATCCTGCCACTTGGGCGGCTTCGCTGTTTCTGTTCCCCCTCCCCAACTTGCTCCCCACCCTGTTTTTTTCTACTACTGTCTTCTTTTTGGTGTGAAGGACTAGAAAGAATCTTGCAAGATATTGGAGCCTTTAGAATTTATGGTTCTGTTTCCGTGGTTGTCACCTCCGTTCTACATCAAATTTAAGGCTCATTTCTTAAGGATGTCTCTATTTTCTGCTTTATTTGCACATTGATGGCTCTGCTGCTCGGCTGACCTCAGCCGCCTGCGTCAGATACAGAATTGTGTTAATAAGTGAGGGAAGGCTAAGGCTGATCATTAGCAGGCAGACGGAATTCACAGAGCATCTGGCGGCCTTTCTTCCTGTTTATAAGAAAGGTTTTATATTCTCGCTAGGTAAACACAAGGTTTTAACTTTTTATCTTGATACTGGGAAGGATCAACCCCCCAACACACACACACACACACACACACACACACACACACACCTTTTCTTTTCCGTTCATCAGCTTTTCTATTTGGGGACTTGCTCACTTGTTAGCTGTAGTTCCGGCTCTCTTGTTGCTGAAGCTCTTTTTCCACCAGCAGAGGTAGGACCTATCTAAATTCATGCCAAGTCACCAAGACTTTTTCTTCCCCTTGCTGCTGCATTCGTATATTTCGAAACATGTTGTACTAGAGATAGGTTATTCGGATTGTTTTTTAATGTAGCCTTGTTAAGCTTCATTTTAAAACTTGCCAAGGGTTTATTGGTTTGTCATGCCTGCACGGATCCAGTTATGCCTAGCTCTTAAAACATAGAGCTTTAAAATAAGAGCTACGACTGTACTGCCAAGATGTGGCATGGCGCTTGCTCTTCAAGTTTTGGACAGGTAGAGTTGTCATTGTTTCTATCAAGTGCAAAGGAGGTGACGACTGTTTATTTAGTGTAATATCTGTTTACAGCTAAAACTTTAAAGACTTACAAAAGTAGATCTGCTGGATTTTAAAGATCTCGTCTTTCTTGTGGCAGAGACACAACACCAGCATCAGAAAAGGCAACAGATTGCTTCTGTCATATCGCTTTGCTGTTTTCGAGTGTACTTAAAGGATTATGATTGATAAGGCTGTCTTGCTGGAGAATGTTGACACAGGTGTGCATCGTTATCTTAATTAAGATCCAGAGAAAATGTTGTCTATAAATGGAGACATAAGAAGAGGGCATAATTTTGTACAGTTTTGCTTTTGGAGAATTTAATTGCTCTTGAAACCTGTCTTTGAGCTTCCAGATTTTGTGAGCAGTTTGGCAACAGAAGTTTTAGAGAGGAATGATAGCTTAATGTTAAGTGTTCTGGCATGTTTTAATACTACTTGTGGCTTTTTGGCAATACCTTGTGTCGGCGCTCTTTGTACTCTGTCTTTGTGGAATAATGGCTTCTAATTTTGAAAGCAAAACATAAAATAGAGGGCTGTATTGTTAGGCAGACATTCATTAGTGGTCAGAACCAATCTGTTGTTTAGTGTGCAAGAAACAGGTCATAAAGAAAAGGTAAATAGATGAGAAATGTATGCCTTTTAAGACTTGGAGAAGGAAACAGTCTCTCCAAGTGCCTTGATGATCTAAAACAATTCCCTTTTCATACCATCAAGTACATTGCTACAATGTTTATGGAATAGCTCGTTTTCATTTGTAGAAATAGAGGGAAACTTTACTCCTTCCAAAATACTACCTTATATATTTTGACTGGTGACCAATGATAATAAAGTATTAGTTTAGGACCCAGTTTATAATCTGGGTAATCGTTAAAATAGTATCACCGTCCTTAACTAGAAATCTCTCCAAGTGCAAACAATGACAAGGGGGATGCTGGTGGCCACTTGCCCTTGGCTTACCCTGTACCTCATACCCCTTAACATAAGAGCTACATTAAAATGTTCTCTCCTCTTTGTAGCTCCACATTTCCTGGAAGCTGGCTGTCAATCAGCATTTGTGTAAGATGTGTCCGTGCTTTCCTTCAATACCAAACCTCAGGGTAGAAAAAGGAAATGAAAGTGGAGGGGACTGTGGGCATATGATGGGAAAGGCCAGGTGTAGAGTCATGCCTCATTCTTGACTTCAAGGATAATTAGCTGGTTAGAATTACATGGGGAACTAAAATCAAAGGAAGACTTACTTAGATTTGTTTGCTGAAACTGAAACAAGAGCGATAATTTTGAGATAATTGCTTTTTTTTATGCTCCAGACCCCTCCATCAAAATGTTTTCTCTGGCAGCTACAATTCCTATCCTTTATACTGTTATGAATGTATTATTTTTACATTATGTATATTGTATTAAAAGATATGGAATATTAATACAGATGAATTATCCATTTTAATTAATAATACAATTATGAATGTTTATTTGTTCTAGAACTCCTAGGAAAAATTAAGATGTTCTTTAGTTAATGAGTTGGAAATGAATGAAATCGTGTAATCCTTTGTGAATTGAATGAGTTGTTTAAAATAGATTATGAGCACAGTGCCATAGTTGGGACAACATTTTAATTCCAAAACATCACCACCTGCTTTGAGTGGCAGCATGTCTGTCTTCATATATTTCTCTTCAGTTTCTACATTGCATTAGCTTCTGTTTCTAACATCATTTTGGTAGAGAATAGTCTTTCGTAACAGAACAGCAGCTGACACATCTCTGTGATCATGTAAAACCTAGGGGTGATTTTTTTTCCTTATTCCGTAATGACTAGTTTGCTTTCACAGCTCTCCTCTGAAGTGCAATACTGATGACTTATTTCTGTATAAATTGGCTGTGCTTTCATAGCTCTAGTATACCTCAGCAACAATTTAGCTTGCAAATCAACTTAGATGCTTCAAAATTGAAAACCAGTATATTGTAACATAGTTTGAGTGTAAGTCTTTATTAGTGAGGTTGCACTTAACATTTGTTCAGGAAAGGAGAATATAATTTTCTCCCGCAGTTGTCATTTGTGTAATCCATTTTTCCAGCCTTTTCTCAGGATAATGATATTCCACACCTTAATACGGCTCTTATTTGTTTATTTACCATAATATGGAGTGATACCTTGGAGAAAATTGGATTAGACATTTATATCTAATATCCCCAAAGTATTGCTAGAGTTTCTGTGTTCTTTTACACAGAACCATTTCTATTTCCTGTACAGGTGATAAGTACAATGTTTCTATAATATATTTGGATATTTCAGATAAGTTCACTTCCAAGTATGGGGTTATTTCACATATGGACTGAAATTTGTTCTTGTACATACCGAGACTTATCTGCATGCTTTGGGTGTGCCTATATGTGAAGCTCCCAAATAGCAGCAAAGTGGCTTCACCAAAGTATACATGTTAGTAATAGGGGCAAAGTGTGAATGGTGGGGAAATGCCACCTTTGATTGTTAAAATTCTATTAGTGCACTAAATAGGAATTTGGTAAATTTAAAAATTGTTGATTTGTGGAATGTCTGAATAATTTATTATTTGTCTTGGAATTGCATTGCATAATTTATTTGAATTATATAATTGGATAGTGAGATTTATAAACAAGTTTTTACAAATAAAATCAAGACCAAGGTTGTGATGTTTAATAGAAATTAAATTACTATTTAAAGGAAATAATGAGTTGCAACAAATCACATTTTGGAATTATTTTTATGATCCTGTTCTTTTAAGAATAAATTTAGCACTATTTTCAGCCATTTGGTATCAAGATCTTAATTATAGAAAGTATAAACTGTATGTAAAACTTGTCGTTGTTATTGAAAATGGGGCTCTGGGTATAGGGGAAGAAAGGCTTTGAGAAAGAATTACTTTGCAGAATATTTGTGCTATTTAACTAATAGAGCAAGGAAATGGGCTTAGTGAATTACAACATTTATTATCAATAAAGTTGGTAGCTGACCCCCCCATAAGATAATTTTACTGAAAGCAGTCTAGTTAGTATAGCATTTAGGAAAACAAATGCTTCTCTGTGAATTGTTGTGGGCATTAGCGTAGTCTTGCTGCAATATGAAATACTGTTTAATTGTTTGTGAGTAATAGACTTGTGTTCCCTGTACTGAGTGGAACCTAGAGAAACTCAGGGCTAAAGCATTATAGTAAGCTCGAAGCACAGCACAAATGTAAAGAAAATGTTAGGCAGGCAAAAATAGAATTCCTCTTTGTTTACCTTTAAGCTTAGGGATCTGTTCTATTTTTAAACCATGATAGAGTTGTTGAATTTAAACGTAAGAGGATTGAGGTTTGTTTTCTTTTTCTCCTAAGCATAAATAGTGACTGTATCCATCATTCAGATTTATCAAGTTTCATATCTCTTGTGAACTGGATTTACTATTAGGATTCAAGTTTCATTAAAGGTATTCAAATACATTAGAACTCTTCACCTTATATGAAATATTTACAGTGGGGGCATTCTTGAAAATATCAAGAGCCATCCTTTTTTGAGGAATATGTTATGGCTGATTAATTGAGAAGGTTGTACTAAATGTTCTCTAGTGGAAATAGCTAAAGTGCGCTTTTTAAGAAATGCATCATCCATGAATAAAATCAATTGAGGTATCAGTAATTAAATTGTAATTCCATGAAGGAAGGAAGTGGTAAGAGAGATGAAGCTAACTGTGGCCATTTTCTCTTTAAGAATTGCAGTGTCTATTGGATTCCTGACTGCCCGTGGAAGGAGGTGATAGTATTACTACTATCTATCGTCAAGAGCACTTTTCTCTGCAGTCCTGAACCTTTATCATACATGAGAAGTCTGTCCAGTAGACAGCAGTTTAATTTTGAGCTATGGGAACCATCCTGTTTTTCTCTGCTAACTTTGCGAGTCTGCTTCTCCCAGGACCAAAGGCTGTGTTTAGAGAGCTGAGAAATAACATTTTGGCCTACTCAGCACCCTTAAAATAGCTTCTTTCTGCGAATTAGATCTGCGATGGCGTCCTGCACAGCTCTAGCAGATGACATTTCAGTTTGGGATTGACATGCGCTCAGCCTGTTGTCCAACCGTCCTCATTTACCTCCTGTTCCTTTGTTGCATTTACCTAGGGGTGTAGTCTCCATGGTGGTTGACCGCCAGCCCAGCCCAGTACAGGTGAGGACTTTCAGGTTGGCCCTGGGATGCTGAGACCCCAGGAAGAGAGCAGCTGGAGATAGCGGGCCATGGTTTCTTTGCTTGGTTCCAGCCCAAGCTCTATTGGCTTTCAGAAACCCTGGCGAGGCTTTCCCTTCCCACCCCTCTAGGTTGGCTACTGTGTGCTTTGCAGCTGTTGCAGGAGCTCACACAAAATAGAAGACTCTGCTACATTCTGGATGGCATTTCTGATAATTTACCCATGTACAATTTTGTCTTCAGAACTACTGCTGGCATTGAAATCTAAGATTCCTGAAAAACAGCATTGGGCTTCAGCTATATCTTCCAGAGATGCTGTCTTCTGGCCCTGTATTGCCATGTTGACCAAGAAGGTTCAGTTATAAATCAGTCCATTCAGAAGAGCAATTACTTTGACTGGGAGTGTTGACACAGACCTCAATTGTTTAATAGTATTTATATCTGTTTGTTTTTCTTTTTAAGAAAGGCAACATTTTCCCTGTCATCACAAATTTCTAGCCCCTAACCCATATGTAGTAAAAGGCTTCATGGTGTCTAATTATATAATTGGAAAATGGTAAGAAATGTGGTAGCTCAAATTGATTTCTTCCATTAAAGATACTAGAGCACATTTACAATTGCAGACCTTCAGAAAAGACTCTGGGTAGTCTGGAAGTGAAGTGATGTTTGAGGGAGCCCTGGAGAAGCAGGAGAAATATTAGTTTTAAATTCCTTTCCCCATGTCTTGTCGAAGGGTGTCAGTCGGAGAACCATTACAGTGTAGTCAGAAAATGCCGATAGCAATGTGCTTATTTGGAAAGCAGTTTACATTGGCACAACAATTCAGAATTGTGGCCGTGACCAGCTTCACCCCTGGCATGGTTGGGTTATTACTCTTGCTTTTAATACAGCGATTGACAGTACAGCTTGTGTTTAGAGTACAGCATGTTTTCAAGCTGATTACTACAACATTACAAAGTTGAAATGTGTTTATTAATAGAAGGAGAATGTAAAATTCAACATTTGGGCATCCAAGACTTTTCTGCCAATTTTTTTAGGTCATTGAGTATGATCTTGACATGTATGACACTATTTTTTGTCATTGTTACAGTGATAGAATTGTAGAGTTTTCTGGAACCCATGTGTTCCAGGATTTGTTAATTCCAGATTTTGTTGTCTATAAGGTTTTTCTGAAATTGAAAGTACCAGTGTTTTAGAGAGTACAGTTGGAGTCATAGGCTAACTTCCCACCCATCAGGACAAGGGAAAGCAGCCTTGATTAATTTCAAGCTGTGAAGAGGGCAGGTAAAACTGTTCACAGCGGAAATTTACTAATGCACCAACCATTTAAATTAAATGTTTGTTAACATAATAGTGATGGCATTTTCTCCTCCTCCTCCTTGTGGTTTTGTCCAACTCGATGTTACAGCGGCCGTTGCACTGACTGTTAAGTGTTTAAATGATGACACCATTATGTGAAGTGATTTTGAAATGAGAGACTCCAGCCAGGAATTACATCTGCTCCCATCTCCTTCAAATCATACTCGATGGCAGTACAGATTATGATTGATTTGTTTGTGACAGATTGCAGGAAGCAGTCATTGATTTTTCAATATTTTACCTTAAAATTATTTACAGTTGTAACCATGGGGAGGTATTTCCATGGGCTGTCAGCCCCTGAAAGACTAAGATAATATTCCCTGCTCTCTGACAAGACAAATTACCTGTAATGAGTGCAGTAGCTGAAGGGTATACTTTTATTTTAAAATATGTCAATAACCCCAGTGACTAAACGAATATTGATTTAGCATAATGAAGCCTGAGTAATGTGAAAATGAGCTTTTTCAAGGGGCATGGTAAAGACTTTCTTTTTAGCTGGTTGTAAGAAGCTTTTCATTCCTCCCAGCTAGCTAGGAAAATGCAGTTTTCAGAAGCAGCCCACAAAAATCATGATGTTGCTTGTGATAACTGGAGTCTTGATGCTAGCCGGGCCCTTGGTTTTTAGGGTTCTTCTCAAGTCTAATTCTGTCTTCATTTTAGTCATAGAGTAGCTGCTGTTTTGTTTGATGTTGTCTTTGACTGGCTTAATATTTTGACAGTTTTCACATTAAAGTGAAGGTGTACACACAGCCATCTGTAGATGAGATGACATGGGGTTGTATTCAGACATTTCATATGAGTTGTAGTATTTAACGCACAGTGTTTCATGGCAGGCCACCTCTGTCTTGACACTGGGTTGTTTTCTCTGCAAGTGAAGATTAATCCCCTGGGTGCTGGTTTTTAGACACCAGTGCAGACCTCCATTTTTGTCAGATTTTGTTCCCTTCTTTCCTGTGATCCTAGACTTTTTATGGACTAAGATGCCAATACATAAAATCCTTTGTACAAGAAATAGATACCACGTATCTATACATCAGAATGTGTAAAGATTTTAGGTCTGACTCATATCTCCATGGCTCCAGTGGTGGTGGGAGAAAGTGTGGTAAATTAAGCTGGTAATGTTTACCAGGGAAAGACACATTCAAAGACAATAACCCAATGGTATTTCATGGGATCCTAGCTTATTTTATGGTAACGTAAGTCATAAAATCAATATATAAAATCTTTTTAGAAATTAAAAACAACTTGATTTAAGGGAAGTTTGGCCAACTGACTTGTTTCCTTATGAGTTGGCCTTGGAAATGTAGGGGGCGGGGGGATTGACAATTCAACCAATGTCCAAGTGGAGAAAGGGTGAGCTTGAGAACACAGAATTATTGTTTCACATTTTCCCCAAGAATTGCCTCAGATGTGTCATGGTGGCCTCTGTCACTGTTTTTGTTGTGCCCTGCAGTAAACAGGGTGCTCTGTGCAAAGCTCTACCTGTAACTTCCTGAGCCTAAGGGTTTATTTCTACATCACCACCCCCACCTCAGGCTCTTTCTCTCTTCCTCTAAGGGGACTTCTGAAATAAAGAAATCTGAGGGATGTGCCATTGGAACTGGTAGCCTGAAGTCTCCAGCCGTTTATATTGCTTTTATAGTTTGTAGATTTACATCTTTTAAGGGTAAAGATAGTTTTCCCTCCCTAGATTTTTTACATAAGGTACCTTTTCTTCAGACCACTCTTTGTTAAACAAAACCACCTCTATTGTAGTTTGGTTTATTTGGTGTAAAATAAAGCATTATAGCAGTAACTTACAACCCCATTACTTAGTGTGTATTTCTTCATTTGACAATGCATGGAAAATTATATTTGTAAACTTAATTTAAATAGTGAAAATGAAATTTGTTTCATTTTTGTTTTTTTGAAGAAAATTATTCCCTTGAATATTAGACACTATTCTATTTCTCTCTCATAAAAGAAATCCTGCCCCAGTTCTTTAGGGAAGAACTATTTGTAGAAAACATTTTTGTTTTTAAATTATGCATATGATTATATAGGTCTAGTTAGAAATAATAAAGGAAGAAAGACCCTTGCTTTCAAAATCTTTCTTGTTTGTATTAAGACGGTTTACTTTGACATGGTTCATACCAATCTACTTAATTTTTTTTCCTGAATTCACTTTACTGTGTTTCACCTGACTTTCTATGATAACTTAATATAGGAACAAATTAGCATATAATTCTATTTTCCATATGACCTCCACAACTTGCAGAATTATACCTCCCCTTGCAGGGGAGCTTTGGTCACTTATTCATTCTAGAGCCTTGAGTGTTTGCAAAGATGCCGTGTACCCTGGCTGACATTTTTGTTATGGAAACCATTTTAAAGTAGCAGTTAGATGGAACACTTCACCCCATTACTAAGGTATTAAAATGTTTCCATAAGGTAGCATTTTCAGTTAGTATTCACAGTTGATTAGTGGTTTATCTTCTCCCAACTATGAAGCGGCATGGTCAAGTTAAGTTGGAGTCAGTGGTGTACAAGTTATTAAGGACTGACAATGATCATGACAAATAATTATTATTTTTAGAATCAGCCAATGTTCTTGGGTTTCCTGAGATCTGTTTCCGTCTAGATGCAAAGGACATGGAGCACGCTGTTCAGTGATTCTGGCGTGCTTGGGGGTAGCTGTTTATAGTATTCTCCCAGCTCCAATCTTCAGTTGCTGTGCAGGAGGTAAAGCACTTCCATATCACTAGTTTTATTAAAAATGCTTAATATTACAGAGGATTATTGTGTATTTGCTGCTTTAATCAAAAAATAGGGAAAATCAAATAAATTTTATGTTAATTCTTTTTGTTCTAAAATGTCTTTATTTGATTAAATGAATATTGATGATTGGAGAAGTTTTAAAAATTCTTTTGCTGTTGTGATTTTTCTAGATATCATTAGGTAGATTCAAAATCACTTTCCCGCCTGCCTCTATTATACTTATGGGAGAAAAAAGATGCTAGGCATCCACATAAACTTTTAATTCTCTTATTACTCCCCCTCCACCCCCAATAGGACATTTCCTCCTGAACAAATATATCAGTGCAGCTCAGATTCTGGAAGAAAATTGCCTCACCTGGCAGAGCCCTCATTTTGTGTGGGAACATCAGCTTTGTGTAAAGAAGGCTGTCATCCCTTCAACCTTTGGGTAGCTGTGACCTACTTCCTTGCTGTCTGGGCACCCACTGTAGCAGCCTTTGTAGCATCAGTAGAAAAGGGAAGAATTAGTCTACAGAGGATGCCTCCAACCCTACTGGCAGGAACCTGGAAGGTATGCATCTACCAGGCAAGGAACCAGGACATTCAAGATGCCAACTGGTGCAGAAATTGCTATGGGTTTTGTATTTCATCTACCTCCATAGCTGATACAAAGACTCAAAGCCCTGGAGTGATTTCTAAAGCATAGAGCTCACCATAGCAAAGCAAATTCAGTAGCTGGAACACTTCCCTCGTTTTGGGGGGCCAGTGGGGAGTATCAATGTGTGTGTGTGTGTGTTTTGTTGTTTTTTGGTTGACACAGTGCTTCTATATACCCTTGGCTGTTCTGGAACTGTCTATATAAAACAAGTGGGCCTCAAACTCATAGGTATCTGCCTGCCTCTGCCTCTTGAGTGCCATCACTCCTGCCACCCCTTCTTAATTTTTTTAATTAAACTTTATATTTTGAGATAATTGTAGATTCAAAGGTAGTTATACAAAATAACTACCTTTCTTGAACACTTTCCCCAGTTTCTCCCAGTAATAGTATGCAGTATATTTAATGTCACAGCCTGATTATTGATATTGAATAATCAAGATAACATTTCCATCACCATAAAAACCTTGTCTTTTTCCTTTGTGGCCATGACTATTCACCCCCCCCACTGCTGTAACCATTAGTCTGCCCTCCATTCCTGTGAGTGTTGTCTAAGGACATCAGGTAATCTTTGGGATTGGCTTGTTTTATGAAGCTTCAGGTTGTGTGTGTGTCTATTTTAACCACCACCTTTTCTGTAGCAACTCAAAGCATAGGAGTGCCACAGTTTACTCTTCATGGCTGGGGTGTCATAGTTCTTTCTGGGCTTTGATGACTACAGGTAAAGCTGCTATACATAGTCATGTGGCTGTGTGTGTGTGCGAATATAAGTATATTTTCCTGGGATGTATAGTCACTAGTGGAATTGTGTAGTTAACCTGTATCTATAGGTGATTATTTTTCAAACTGTAATTGAGTTTTGAAGAGCAAACAAGGCAAGAAAGGTATCTATATTTTTATAACAACTATATTAGTTAATGATTTTAAAACATGTAAGCTATCTTAAGTTATTTGTAGTTAAGAACACATTGTTTCAGAATCTGGGTATATATTTTAGATCATCTCTCTTCTTTTCTTGGTAAATTTTCCTGGGTGTGGAAAGATGTACACACTGTTGCTGCAAAGTTCACAGTTTGCTCCAGAAAATGTGGGGCAGTTTTCCAGATTTAACAGAGACTGGACACCAAGACTACACCTGTGACATCTCGATCTATAGACTCCCATTTTGGCCACTCCATCTCACCTGCAGAATTATCCACATGGTGTCAGATTGGTGGGCATACAGAAAGTGTTTTAAATTCATCTTGTACTTTGAGGATCCCCTATGGAAGGCCTCACCCTCCATGGGGAGCAGAAAGGGTATGGGATAGGTAGGGTGTTAGTTGGGGGGGGGCAGGGAAGGAGGAGAGGGAGAGGGACCTGGGATTGACATATAAAAATAATTTCCTAATAAAAAAAGGAAAAAAATTCATCTTGTGCACTTTATTAGAGAAAGAAAGAACTAAAAAGTGAAAAGTAACCCTTTTTGGGTATATGGTCCCTAAATAATGTAGCTACTTTAATGTACACAATGCTTAATGGATAAAAATAGCTTTCATTCCCATCCAGCCCTTCTGGGAGTTATACTCAGTTAAATTTTACTTACTGAGACATGATAATATCTTGCAAAGCAATATGTGATATTTTGAAGAAGATCCATGGAAAAGAATTTTAAGGAGTGATTGTTATTCTGATTTCCTTTCATACGATGTAATTCTTTACATAACATATAATGTGACACCTGGCTGTCCTTGTCCTCGAACTCACTTTGTAGACCAGGCTGGTCTAAAACTCAGAGATGTAAATCAGGCTGGCCTAGAACTCTGCCTGCCTCTGCCTCCCAAATACTGGGACTAAAGGTGTGCATCACTAAGCTCGGCCCAATCTTTTTCTTTCTAAGAAACACTGGGTGTAATTAATTAGACCCAGTGATTCTTCCCAGAATCCAGATTATAAATTTCTGACTTTATTGAGTGAGGAACCAGGCTTAGGCTACCCCCTGTCTTTCAGTGGCTTTGTCTTTAGCCTAATGTGGTTATACCCATCATTATGTAAGAAAAATAAGATAACTAAATGTTCCTTGCTCTAATAAATGACAAGCTAAAAGATGAGATGCACACACAAACCTTTTGAGGCTAGTGCAGTGATTGATTTGTGAAAAATGTATTGGAGTATCTATCCAGAGTCATAGTACTTTGAGAGACTGGGACTCTACCAGTAAAGAAGACATCACAGTCTTAACTCATGCTTCTAGACTGGGATGTATAGACAAGGAAAAACGTCAAATAACAAGGAGTGGACACAGTAATACATTATTAGAACTTAGAATTCAGGAGACAGAGACATTAGTGATGATGAATTTGATGAAGAAGCATTGGGTAAAGAGACCAAGGGCCAGTCAGGTTTGTGTTTTGACCTGGGGAAGCAGGACAGCCACCATCAAGAGGGACACAAACTGGAGTAAGATTGCAGGTTACCAGAGTGAGAACGGGTCTAGCTAAATTTCTTGAAGCATCGAAGTGTCTGCCTGGACAGCATTCTATTTAACAGTTACTTGTGTTTTTCTGAACTCACCAGAAATGAGGTGTCCTTTACAAGAATTTATAGGTTTGGGTTTGTGAGCCTGAGATAGAGCAGTGCAGTTGGCATTCACCTAGCCTCTAAGAGACTCTGGGCTCCCTCCCTGCAGAAGCAGGCAAATCTGAGTTTGAGGCTAGCTTGGTCTACAGAGTGAGTTCCAGAACAGCCAGAGCTACATAGTGAGACCCTGTCTTGGAAAAAAAAAAAAAGAAGAAGAAAGGAAGAAATTGTTTGGGGTAATAAGTGTGTATGTACCACTGCTTTGTAAGTACAAGGTCAGAAGAGAGTGCTTAAGAACCTTTGGGAAATGCCATCAATTTGGGGAGCTTTGTTGTGACATAGGCCCCTTTAAGAAGAATTTCAACCTCCTTCCCCAGTATATACTAGGCAAGCACTCTGCCACTAGGATATATCCCTACCCATCTTTTTACTTCTTCAAGTTTGACAAAGAATTCTCAGGTTTCCTGCTGTTTGGTTGTCTTGCCTCAGCCTTTAAGATCTGGTATTACCAGTCTGTGTCTTCAAAATGGCCGAATTGTTTCTAAATTACTAATAGTCATAGACTCAATCAAAGTGGTTATAATACACACTAAAACTAAAATACTCATGATTTTATATTTGGTAGATAATATTGATTCTGGTAGCTCCACATTTTCATAGGAATAGGCTCCCTTTCTGGCCAGCCTGTTTTACCATAGTTTCCTCTTTCATATTGTAAAATGCTCCATTCACTTTTCAACAATCCCTCCTGGTCTGGTTTAATCCTGCTAGCCCTGTCTCTCCTCTGTTGCACAGGGAATGTTTGCCTTCTTAGCTTTTTGCCTCTGGGAAGCTGTGGACATGTCCTCCTATCTGCTGTCTGCATGGTCTTATCCGAGACCCCATGCCATCTGGTTGTTTAGCAATCCAAGGGACTTTTTGACAACTTGTAGCCTACAGTTCTCATCTGTGTGCATATCATAGTGTCTCTGGCTCCTGCTGCTGGGCTCCATCTTGGTCCTCAAAGATGCTTGCTCCTGGCACACTTCCCTTCACCTTGGCACTCTCCATTGCCTGGGCATAGGTGTGTAACTTTGCTTTCCTGTGTCTCCTCCCTGAGCCACCTCTTCCTCAGCTGTCATTGCATCTCTCCTGCCCCAGTAACCCAGGCATCAAGTCACTGTTGTAACAGTGTCATCTGTCCTCTGTCATCCTCACTTCTCCTTTCCAATATTCTTCCTTTTTTAAAATCTAAAGATCCAAGCTTTTTGTTTTGTTTTTACCTATACATCTCTCCATGTTCTCTATGGTCTCTATAACACTTCTTTTAGCTTTTTTTTTTCTTCCATAGACATAGTTTCACTATGTTGTGCTAGCTGGCCTGAAAATAGAGACCCACCTACCTCTGTCTCCTGAGTGCTGGGATTCATGCTCAAGTTGTTAGTTTGTTTTTAGCCATTTTTCCATGTGTTCTAGTTTTGGCAGTTTATATTGCAGAATCTCCTTGCTCCAGAAGGCTTTCCTTGGTCTGATACACACATTAAAACACCTCCATTTCTCTTGGATCTCTAGCATCTGTATTTTGTTCCTTTTGGGATTTTTCTCCCTGCTTGCTTTTCTCTTCTGTCCTCACACACCCTCTTAAAGAAGATCCATTGGAGTTGTTTGTCTGGGCAGTGTCTTAGTTGACCTGTGTTGCTATAACAGGGTGACAGGATGAGTAATTGGAAGGAAGAGGATTTACTTCCATGGTTCTGAGGCTGGTGAAGGCCTTCGAGCTCTGTCCTCACATGGCAGAGAGGGAGAAGAAGAATCCACTCTCGTTCAAGCTCTTTTTATAGCAGCATTAATCCATTCATGACATCTTCCCATTCAGATCCGCCTCCAAATGCTCTTGCCATTGAGGACTGCGTTTCCAACACAAGAGCTTTGGAGGTGACAGGATCACTCAGGCCACGGTAGTTCCCTTAGCTTTAAATGTCTGCATTTGGCCCCAGCTCTAGCTGTTCAAAGTGCGCTTTTGCTCCTTGCAGTGCTCTGTAATTTCCTCCTGACAGCTGGGGTGAAGAGCAGGGTAACAGGAACTGTAGCCTTCAGGGATGTACAGAGAGGAGGGGAAGCACGCTGCAGCCTTCTGTGAACCTACCCTGCCATTTCTGCTTAGTGGGCCAGGATGGCCAGAGCTGGGTGTTGTGGGAGCTCAGATGAGCCTGACGTTGGGTCAGCTGGGCTCTGACAGATGGAACCTTTCAGGTTAGACTAGGTTAAACTCTTCTACTGGGCAGATCCTAGTAGTAACAGAATAGAATAGAATGTTCTGGCATATTTCACAGTGCTTCCTTTTTTCCCCCTGCCAGAAGCCCAAGGAAGATTTATCTCCAGTATTGGCTTTCTGGAGCTTGATGAAGCTCAAGGAGAGACATTTCAACAGCATGGGCTCCAGCTGCCTGCATTCTCCTAGTTCTTCCTGGCCAAATTTGAATGCAAGACTCAAGCAGCTGGCCAGTCCCAGCTTGGGTTTTCCTACTGTGGGCCTGTTTCCCAGAGGTCTCTACTATGAACAGTCATTGTTCTCTATCTACCTATCTCCAAATTGGGGGTAGCATTTTTCTCTGGGACCTCGGATTGAATAGAAGTCATTTATTTTCCAGAGTTTACTTCTCAGGGGTGATTCCAAGTTCTTTGTATGCCAGGTAAAAATTACAAAGAAGCTTTTAAGAACAATAAACTTGTGACAAAAGGAAAAAGTAGGAACAAAACAAAGCATTTAGAGACTTGTAATTTGACAGTACACCTCACCCCAGTTTATGATTCTGTGATGTGTGAAAATCTCTCCACAGTTTCTGCAGTTTGGATTTGAAATGTTCTCCGAAGACCTCTTGTAAAACATTGGCTTCAAGATGGTACTATTGGGAGGTCACAGACCTGTGAGATTGCAGGCCAGGAGGTCATCAGTGTTATGACCTTAAAGGACTCTGTGGGACTCTGGTCTCTTCTTCTTTGTTCCCTGGCTTGCAGTGTAAGAAGTTTGGTTCCATTGTGCCCTCCTGCTGTGAATGTGTACCATAGGTCCAAGGCAGTGAGCCCACTCAGGACTTAACCTCTAAAACCATGAGTCAAAATAAGCACTTTCTCCTTGTAAGTTCCTTTCTCTGGGATCTCATTACAGTGACAGGAATCTAACAGCACATTAAAACTTCAAAACAAAGCCGTGAACTCTAGCAGTGTTTCTACCTTGAAGACAGAGCATGGGAGAGAGAGTCAAGAAAACAAAGATTTGGAACCAAACAGTTCATCTTGCAGTTGTCTTAAAGGTACAAGGTAAGGTTAAACTCTGGGGTGCTCAGGGAAGGAGAGTTGGAGGTTTTCAGAATGTTCTTGGTGTTGAGAACAGAGGTATCCTATATTCCCATCTCCTACTCCAAGTTTCTTCAGATCAGCCACTGTCTTCTGCTATTAAACTCAACCAAAAGAAGACACTATTACCCAAGAGCCTTTGCTCCAGCTCCCATCAAAATCAGTGTACAGTATCTACTTCAGACCCTTGTCTGTCCTTGTGCTTACCTGGCATTTAAGCAGCTTGCAAATTACAGCTGTGCTGGGGACAGGTTATTAACACCTACTGTGTCTTTGTGATAGAACACCGAAGCAGAACAGTGCAGAGGTTAGTTGAGCACACAAATGTATAAGCTGTGTTTGCTTTCCTAAGACTTCTTCTCACCTGAATTGGAGTGTGTGTAAGTTCACTTTCATTTTGAAATTCCAATGGGAATAAATTTATCATCAGTTTTGAAGAAGACTGGTTTATCTTAGTTCATGCTAATGTTATGCCTGAGCTATTTACTATGGGCTTAGTTATTGACCTATTTTATTTGTCATTTTATTGCATACATATTTTCAGCAGAGATGCTTACACTAAGCTGTATTTATTTATACTGCAGTACATTAACCATAAAACTATCTAAGTACACCCAAACCACTATGATCTGCAGCCCTCAGGGAGAGGCTTTTCAGGGTAGCCAAGTCTTAAGAATTAGCAGGGGCTGTTGGTGCTTAGATCTTGCTAAGAGAGCCTATCTACCTCTGAAATAATGGGTGGAGTCTCACAAATGTTGACCCTAACTCAGGATCATCCGTATAAGCTGTACTGTGAAACTCAGTCCCTTAGAGGACTTGGTATCATTTTTGTCTTAGTTCTTTCTGACATTTCTGTGCCATCCATTGTTGCCAGGGGTATTTCTCCTGGCCCTGCCTGTTGATCTCTTATGTCCTGGGCTTTGAGGGCTTGGAGACCAGGTAATAGAACTGGACTCTGATGTGGAATGGTCATTTGCAAGCACTGTGTTAAAGACTGCCATTCAGTTCTGTGAGTTTTGTTTTGTTTTTACCACTCAAGTGGCAGGATGGGAACTTGCCCTGGCTCCTCCTCTCTGTTGTTGAGGTCCCATAGCCTCCTGCAAAACTCATCCTAACCTGGGAAGTCGAGCTCTGGGTAAGCCTCAGATACGGGGCTAGTTGAACACACTCTAGAATAAGAAAGTCAGTTTTGACACTGGTTGTACAAAAAGGTGTGTGTACTAAACAATGCCTTTATTTGTCTTGCCAGTTCCCTGTTATCTTTCTTTATGGAGTTGGCAAATGGAATGAAGAACCTTATGCATGCTAGGCAAGTGTTTTACCAGTGAGTACATCATTAGCTCTCCTCCTTCACTTACAAATCCCAAACAGACCTTCTTTCTACTTGTACTCTGTTGGAACTAAATGTAAAGCTTTAATTCCTAAAAAGGTCTTGCAAGGCCCATGGTAGCTCTGATTTCCCTCTCTGCTGTGCATGCTTTATGGATGCATTATACACCCCATCCTGTTCTTGACATGGTCACTATGAGAAGCTTTGGTGGGTGTGCCCTTAGGCTGGAACCCTCAGGCATTCATAGGCCTGCTCCTTTTCACCTGCTCTAGCATCTTTGGTGACTTGTCTCCTCAAGTCTTCAGACACTGAGGATTTAAGCTGTCCTTTTCTCTGAGCTAGAATCAAGAGATTGGCTGCAGGTCAAACCACAGCTATCAGCTTCAGGTGGACCTGGGCCCTCTGCTTTCAATGCCCATGGGCTTTGCTTACTGCTTCAAACTACTAGTGTGGCTGAGTAACAGGTAAGGCCTAGTTGTGACTGTGTAGATGGGCTGCACATGTGGTATGCTAGGTCACAGGAGGAAAGAGGGAAAGGGAACTTGATCCAAGGGTATGGAATCCCAAGGGGAGGTGTGGCTGGACAGTAATGAAAACTGTTCATGTGGATGTAATGACTAACTCCAACTGGCTACCCAGGCCCAATAACTTGGAACACTGGTACTCTACACTGGCTTTAATGATTACTATAGTCACAGTGTTTAGAATTTAGGTATTTGTTTAGTTTGTTTGGGCCATATATTTGCTTATTTGTTGTTTTGAGAGAGCATCTTCCTGTGCAGTCCAGGCTGGCCTTTAATTTGAGAACCTCCTGCTTCCATCTACCAAATGCTGGGATCGTAGGTGTATGCCACCACACTGAGCTTTAGCCTTATATTATTAGTCATTTAATAAAATCATTTTTCAAAACTAGGAACATGATCATTTGTGAATAAAATTCAATCCATTTCTTTCTTTTTTCCCCCCCTCAGTGCTGGGCATTGATCCTAGGGCCTCATATATACTAGTCAGGAATTCACTGAGCTACATCCCAGCTCCTGATATATTTCTCAATACAAACAGTATCTGAACCATTTATATTGAAAGTGCAAATTCTCTTTACTTTTCAGTTTAAAATATAGTTTTGAGGGTCTGGGAAAAAATACCTTTGGCAAGTAATTATTTGAATATCTGGATTTGATATTATTAGTTTATGTTCATGTGTGTGGATGTATAAATGCCATAACAGAAATGTGTAACAACTTGTAGGAGACAGTTTTCACCTTCCACCATTTGGGTCCCGGACTGAGCCCAGGTCATCAGGCATGGCAGCAAGTACCTTTACCCACTGAACCATCCCAATGGGGCCTCATTTACAGGTTCAGTGGTTTATCATATTAAGATTGTTTAATGGTCCCCAACAACCAAAAAGGTATTGTTAGTGATAGAATATATCAAACCAGTGGTCTATTACGATGTTACACTCCATATAGATTAGTATTTCAATAAACCTTCAAAGAATTTATAGTTTTCTTTTCTGTGTGGCCATGTGTATTTTTCAATGATCTTGGCATTAGTTCTTGAGAAGTCAGCTCAACCTCAGAATTCTAAAAAGTCCTCATTATCCACTTTAGTCTAAAAGAGATCAGCAATTTAGGTTGATCTATTTATATTAACTGACTGGTACTTCCATGCTAATCCTGTAATTAAGATTCATTTCTCAAAGATGTTACTATAATCTTAGAAATATTAAAGATTTAAACCCTAAAGATTGGTATGGAAATGATTAAATTTTCTCTATTATTTCTTCCCTCTCTCCCAGAGTGATTAATTTCACTTTCAGTGCCTTCCTTCCCGAGCCGAAGTGCTTCTGTAGAGACTAATTCAGTGAAACCTGTTTAGGGGATCATCCCTGCTAGACAGACAGCTGCGAGGGGCATCCGCTTCCCAGCATGGATTTCAGATTATGACCAATGAGGAGCCGGAGCTAAGGAACACCTGTCAGCGATGTTTGCTGCAAGGAGACCAGCTCTTTAATCGAATTTCATTGTACTTCAGAAAAAGGTTTATTTTAAATGTGGCGTCTGCTTTTATGATTCATTCCTCTCAGCTGAGACATCACTTTGGGGCTTATTTATGATGTTGTTCTAGGGTGAAACGAGAAACTGCAAGAAAGTATTTCAAAAGGCGGCCTTTCCCAGACATTCAATTAGCAACCTTGTCATGTGGGAAAATAAAAAAAGCAATGGAAATCTTTAGTTTTTGTGTGTGAATATAATTATGATAGGGATCCTTCTGAACACACTTTAGAGTGTTGAAGCTGGATAGTAAATGCTCTCTGTGAAGTCTGGGGAACTTTCCTTATGGAAATCCATCTCGCTTATCTGTGATGTGAGCAGAGCAAACTATCATTGATGCTGATGGATTCTGAAAGGCCATGCTGACTTTCAACTTGGCCCTAATTGGAGGCCCTGCTAAGCCCCATAATACCAGGTACCTTCTCACAGCTGCAGACCATGGAGTGTAACTATCAGAAGACAAACTTCACTGTGCAAACTGTAATTTAATGGTATAACTGTGTGCAGCCCAGAATATCAGTTAATTTTCAAAACATTTTATTCTACAGCAATTAGCTCAGGTCCTGGAGGGCAAAATGACAAGAGGTTACTCGTTCACTATGTATTTAATTAATTGAAAAATGCTCCAATTGCCTTTACAGTTGTTATTAGAGAGTGGAATCAGTGTTGCCAGCGCTCAACCATAATTGGAACCCCAGGGAATTAAATATTTAGCATTAGTAATGTAACGGCACTTAGGACACAAATTTCTATTTTCGTAATGAAAGCTATACACTGTGAGTGCAAGCGGCTGAAAGGACAGCTGTGACAAGCGAAACGGCCTGGGACATTTCAATAAGACACCTCATTGGACAGCAAGTCTTACCACATTATGCGTTTGTAAGAGACCTGCAAGTTTAATTCCCACAAGGAACTCGTAGCCCAAGTCTTTAGCGTCCTAATTGCATGCAGGATGAACGGTTGGGCAAATGTCTTGCCATAAGTGGCTGAAATTCATCCTGCTTTCCAAACAATCGCATATAAGTTCGTGCCTTTGTCAATTTAAAAATACTGAGACTGTCAGGAAATAAGGAGCTTGTTTGTTTTCCATTTAATTATATTTTAAGCACACATGCTTTCTGTGCTACAATGAGAAAAGTTAGCTGTTGGTTCTAATGAGCCGCAGTGTAGATGCTGGAGACCCTGAGGGATTCACTCTGTAAATTAGCTGGATAAAAAGTACTTGGTTAGGATATAGTTGATGGCTGAGCTGTTCGGAGAACCAGTTATGGTACTGTCTCTCACTGCTCTTTCATTCTAAACAGGCCCTGTAGAGACTTTAACAGCTGCCCATTAAAGCTGCTCAACTTGTCAAAATGTATTATATTACTCCACTAATAAATAGTATTAAAGGGTATTTGACTTCACCTCTCATTTTCAAAGGGGATCAGGTTGATAAACACAACTGGCTTAAGCTGGTCTTATTTTAATTTGTTTATGTCAGCTAAGTAATATTGAAGGGCCATGTTTTAAATTTGCAAACATTACCTTCCCAGGCAGGCAAAACTTCCCAAATATGATATACAGTGGAAACAAGGAATTGAGACACTTATTGTAGACTGTTTCTCATTGAAAGGTGCCTGATTTTGACATTGTTAGGCCACTTTAAAGAACCTGAGAGCCCTTGACTAAACTGACAACCTCAGAAAAATAAAAGTCACAAGATGAATAAGTAATGTCACAAGTTTCTGTTGATTTTCCATTGTTCCTGTGTCTATTTTGGATTATTCAAAGTGATCGTGATTTTTTTTTATCAATTTTTAAGCATTTTTCAAAACAATGCATGTTTACTTTAAAAAAATACTTTATTTGATAAAGTCTTCCTTAGACCCTTTCCCAACTCTGCCTGCCTGCCTGCTAGTCTCCTTTGATAATAGGTTTTTTTTTTCTTTTGGTCTTGTTTTTTTGCATGTGCATGTGTATATATGTGGTGTGCATATGTATGTATCTGTGAGTATGAAGGCCAGAGATTGACAGTTGACATAAAATGTCGTCTTAATCACTTCCCACCATTTTTATTGGGGCAGGTCTCTCAGTTGAACCTGAAGCTTGATGATCAGCTCATTCACCCAGCCAGCTTGCTCTGGGTATATATTATATACATACACATGTTGGTCTATGCTTATAGATCATAATGGTGCCTCAGATCACTCACATTTAAAAATTTTGTTACATTTGTTTTCAGGGAGTGGTCACATGCCAAAGTGTATTGGGGTGTTGATCAGAGGACAACTTGCAGTTCTCTCTTTCTATTATGGAAATCCCAGTGATAGAACTCTGGTGTCAGGCTTGGCAACAAGCCTCCTTCCCAGATTAGCCATCTCACTGGCCTGATGGGAGTGCTTTTTATAACCATTAGTACATATTGTGCAGGTACAAAAATGTATTTATCTGTTGATTGCCAATGCCATTCAGAGTAATTCAGTTTTGCCATAGGAAATGATACTGTGCTGAACATCTTCCTAAGCATTTGAGTGGGCATGGATGGGTACAGGGCTCTGTGCGTGTAACACAGAACTGTGAATCATCACGGACTGCACCATTACTGTGTGCTGGGCATTGTTCAAAATAACTTTGGTAACTCGTTCCATCTCTACCCTAATTAAGAGTTAAGGTATAGCCAGATGGTGGTAGCACACACCTCTAATCCCAGCACTCAGAAGGCAAAGGTAGGCAGATCTCTGTCAGTTCAAGACCAGCATGGTCCACAGAGCTAGTTCTAGGACAGCCAGGGCTACACAAAGAAACCCTGTCTCCGAAAACAGAAAAACAAACAAACAAACAAACAAAAGAGTTAAGGTGTATTGTTAGCCTTATTTTATGTAAGGAAACTGAGGCTCAAAGGGGTTAAGCTCCTCAAGGCCACCAGAGTATACTGTTAGCCAGTCTCTTGTGCCTTCCCCCATGTTCGCACACACGTGCACACACACACACACACACACACACACACACACACACACACACACACACACACACACACAGCAGTACCTTCCTTGCATGTGGGTTCAATTGTGGTTTTCCATACTTGTTGCCATCACATTTCTTCTGAGAACTAAACTGTTGTGTCTTTTCTCATTTTATTGTAGTATGGCCCCATTGGGCCACACAAAGATCTTGACTGATTAAGGCTGTCTCTTGTTTTTAACAGCTGGGGTCTGAACCTCCCATGCTAGGCAAGTCTTCTACCACTGAGCTACAACTCCCAGCACTTTTGTTTTCTTTTGAGACAGGATCTCACACAGTCACTCAGGCTACAACTGACTCAGCAGCTCAGAAGGCCTCAGCCTCCCAATAGCTGGGATTATAGGCTGTGGTTTGGATGTCTCTGATACAGGTAATCATGTCCCCCCTTGGCCCTGTGCCTATATTTTCATTTTATGTTAACATTACTAAGATTTGCTTTGTGGACTGGGATATAAGGAAACTTTGTAACCCCAGGGGTGCAAAGAAACATTTTCCTATAAATAGATGAAAATGTAGTCTTTGATTTGTAGTAACTTCTGCAGCCTCCTCTTCCTTTATCTAATGTTAAAGCTCCACTTGTATTCTCTCTTGATAGACAGTTCTTCTGGAATATTCCATTTGTAGACTGCCTGGCCTTGTACCATTCCATTTTCTGTTGTAAGTGTCAAGTCTCTTCATTAAAATGATGTCCATTGTATACATCTAATTCTATAAAAAGGAGTTCATACTCTTACAGACATAGTGAATGAATCCCAAGCCTGACAGGAGGGTGGTGAGTTCAGGCTGTCCTGTACTGCATAATAAAACAACCTGTGAGAATGGTTAACAACCAATGGCAAAGGGAACTAAGGTTACAGATGCCCAGGGTGATTTCTCCAGATTACCCAGGAGATCCTAGAGTAATCACGAGGACTGTTAAATGTGGAAAAGGGAGGTGAGGGAAGTGGTTTGAGAGTGTTGGAGGATGAGATACTCAGCAGAGCCCTCTGGCTTTGCACCTGAAAGAATGGGGCCCCAAGCCAAGGGCAGCAAGCAGGGACTGCCAGTGAAGAAGACAAGACTGTAGCCTCCTTACTCTCCTGAAGAAAGCAGAACTTGGCCTGTGCCTTTGATTCAGATATGAAAGAAAGGGCTGTGGTGATTTGTTACCACTGCAGAGTGGGCAGGGGGTTCACACTGAGACAGGAGGACTGCCAGGAGCCTGAGTGAGAGAGACCTGTCTCAAAAAACCAGAGCTTAAAACAAAGTTGATATGAGATAAAGCCAAGACTCTTGGTTCTTGACTCTCTGGCTGCTTCAGGCCTACTCTCATCAGGATAGCTAAACACCAGTGACTGACTACACACATGCTTGTGGGGCTTGTTGTTACCCAGGTGGATCCCCTTTCCTATTTCAAAAGAAATTTTAATTTTAAACATTTACTTTTTCAGGTGAGCCTTAGAATCTGCAATGTATTAATGTTGACTGAGGGTTTGGTTGGGGGATGTAGGTAGCATATAGATTCCTGTGGGGGAGCAGATAATAGCATCCTAATCCTGACTCAGTAGGCTACCTCCTCATCCTTGAGTGATGCATAGTCCTTGAATCAATGAGTGAATACAAATTTCATTTTTGTAGCAAAGGAGGATAAATATTCACTTAAGATTTTCAACTTATCTTTGTAAAACTCTACATAGAACTTTGATTTAGAAATATCCTCAATACCAGTGCTGTGTCTATTTTTTATTTATTTTATGTGTATGGTCTGCATTCGAGACTGTACCTTGTGTGTGTGGTACCCTTGAAGGCCAGAAGAGGGCGGTGGATCCTCTGGAACTGGAGTCAGACAGTTTTGAGCCACGATGTGGGAGCTGGAAATAGAATCAGGTCTTCTCTTAACCACTGACCATCTCTCCAGCCCTGTGTCTACTTTCTTAATCCAAATGCAGTTAACTTTAGTTTCTGTATTTCTTTTCTCTGTCACACCAGAGATTTATTGGCATTTTAATTTTTTAAATATTTTAGGGTCTTGAGTGATGGATCGGTGGTTAAGAGTACTCGTTGATCTTGCAGAGGACTCAGATTTGGTTTCTAGCACCCACATGACTGCTTATAACCAACCAGGTTGTAATACCCTCTTCTGATCTTGCCAGGCACCAGACATAAATGCAGTGCACCTAAAGATGCAGCCCAAACATTCATATACATAAAATAAACACTAAAATTTTCCTGGGTATGTTGACTGAATGCCTAGTTTGGGGTTTTGGTTTGTTTTGGTGTTGGTTTTTTGTTTGTTTGTTTGATCTCTCTTGACTTGTAGTAACTACTTTCAGGCTATGAATTTTCCTCTAAGCTCGGCATTGGTTTCATCGACCAGCCCTCCTGCTGCAACCTCTGTGTACAAGGCTTGGAGGTGACTGTCCTTCCTGCTGGATTCTGTGAGTGCCTAGTCTAATGTTCTTCTATTTATCTGCTGCTTGCTATTTCATTCTTTTACTTGCTATATATTTAATAAACTCATTCATTTCAAACCAAAAGCATGGTTACTGTGCTCATTCTCGGTATAGAAGACACACATGTTCAAAAGGAACTTTGAGGGGCTTTTGGCTGGCTCAGTAGGTGAAAGTCCTTGAGTGAAACAGACTACCTGAGTTTGATCCTCAGAGCCAGTGGTGAAAGGAGCAAACCTCTGGGTTGCCAATGAAGTCCTAAGTGAGTGTGTGTGTTGTCAGACTCAGAGAAATGGCAAAGCTTGGGTAGGAATGTGGGCTGTATGAAGAAACCACTGACCAGGGCTTCCTCCAGAATGTTTACAGCCTGAGACTGCTCCCCTACAGCGACCTCCTACTGAGAAGAGCTAACCCCTTCTCCACCATGCTACACATCATAAACTCACTGAATTTCCAGGCTGCATAGAAGGTGCATCAGAGCCAGACCAGCCCACCCCATCCCAGTTTTTTTCTGTCTACCATGTCTTCATTCCTTTGTCACCTCAGACAGATTTCCCAGACCACACTGTGCAGGATGCAGTAAGAACCAATTCCCAAAAGTAGTCCTCTGGCTTTTGCACACATGCTGTGGCACAAGCATGCCTGCACTCACACATGTCACATACACAATAATCAAGAGCTTGTGTTGTATGGCTTAGGAAAACTATCTTAGGTCTGCTCACTAAATCAAGCCCTGGTGCTGAGCTTCACAGGCGTACAGGTATCTCTTCCACTGTGTCGCATTGGTAGATGCGACAATCAAGGTCCCTTGATTGATGCACCTCAAACTCTCTTTGTCCCTTTTGATTGTAGGAGGAAAGCTGTGCCTGTGGCACTCCTGGCTGGGAACTGCCTTGTGATTTTCTTTCCTTCCTGTTTTAGAAGAGTGGGGTTAGTTCTCCCTGTGCCCCCAGGCCCAAGGCAATGAACTGTCTGTCCACAGTTTATTTCTCCTGGTAGGGAGCACACTGAGCTGCATACATCCTAGCTATGGCCTTCTGTGCCTGGAGTATGGACTTGAGATCTGTCAGGCTCACAAGGTGCAAACTGAGGAATTCACTCTCAGGGTTGAGCAAGATCTGCCCTCTCTTTACAGTGCATGGCTCCCTGATTTCTGTCATCCAGGCTCTTAGTCTGACTCACTGCAAGCCCCACCCTGCCAATAGTCACTGTCTGAATGGCTTGACAGAGATCTGGGCCTTATCTCTGTGTTTATCTTCACTCCATCAAGAAGGAAGACCTTCATTTTCATGAAGGAACTCCTATACCTGCTTGAGTTGTAGTATATTCTGGTGTTTCAATCACTTTAAAAAATATTTTAAATTCATTATGTTGTTTTCATGTGTATGTGTCATGTATGTGTGAATGCAGGTGCATTTCCTGGTATTATTATGTGTCCTGTGTGTATGAATGCAGGTTCATTTCCTAGTGTTGTTGTTATGTGTGTGAAAGCAGGAGCATTTCCTAGTGGTGTTATCTTGTGTATTCGAATGCAGGGGCTTGCATTTCCTGGCATGTGTGGAAGTTAGAGGACAGTTCCCAGGAGTCAGTTTTTGCCTTCCATTGTGGATTCCAGGGAGAAAACTCAGGTCTCAGGCAATCACTTTTACCTGCAGAGCCATTTTGCTGGCCCTTCCTTGTTCTCTATTTTTATTTTTATTAAAGAAAATATGATTAATCAGTTGATAGTGCCACTGAGAGGTTTATAAAGGAAATGTGTCATTGCCTCACCCCTCTTCATCTATTCTTTAGAGGCAACCCTTTACAATTTCCTTCAATAGCATATTCCTCTTACAGATTATAGCTAATGAATGCATGACTCTTTGAGGAGATCTTCCAATATGAAAGAAAAAGGCCTAAACAAACAGGAAAATGGGACTTGTAGGAAACAGACTGCAGATCCACAGTAACCTGCAAGAAATGAAGGATACTGTGTCTACACAGATAGATGGCGCTCTTGGGGAAACAGAGCATAAGGAAGTAATCAAATACAGAAACAAGGACATAATTAACTAATTTTCCAAAAGCATGATCAGGGAAGTAGTGAAACCTTCCCCAACAGTAAATTTTACTTGATCAATAATAATTGCAACATCAAATCCTTATTTAACCACAAATTATACTGGGCAAGATGTGATGCCGTGAGCCTGTAAAGTAAACACTGGAGGAGAGGCTGAAGTAGGAAGATGACAAATTTGAGGCCAGCCTGGGCTACTGAGACTCTGTGTCAAACAAAGAGGCATCCTGAAGTACATTAGACCCATCTGGCCAGCCCATGCTCATCCAGCACCTGCTTCTGGGGCCTCTCATTTTTTTTTCCCTCTGTTGGGGTAGTTGTCTGGACATAGGTGGTAGATGCTCAGTGTGCCCTAGGGTTAGCCCTGGTCCCTCATCCACCCCCACACCTGGCTCTTGATTCTGGGGCCTTCGTTTTCATTGAGTGATGGGGAATGTACTGTGAATGTTTATCTTATTGATTGTTAAATAAAATACTGTTTGGCCAATGAGACAGCAAGTAGACGGGACTAGGAGTCAAAGAGGATTCTGGGAAATGTAGTAGAGAAGTGATGATCCAGACAGGAAGTGACATAGCAAGGAGACTCATATTTAAGTGAAAGAGAAACAGGAAGGCTCTCTTTTCCCCTTAGCTCCTGCTCCAATGGCACGATGTGATCCACCAGCAAGGAGGGACGCCAATAAGGGGTCCGATAAGATAAGTCTTATATATAGATTTATGATAGTTAAGAATAAGCTAGTAGATGAGGAATCCTAGTCATTGGCCAAGCAGCATTGAACCTAATACAAGTTTCTGTGTATTCATTTGGGCTTAATTCGGGCAGGCGGCTGGCGTAAAGCTCACACGTGGCGGTGGGGCTCAGCGGCTTTTGGCGTAAAGATTTATCGTAACAACTGAGCTCAGTTTTTATCATTCCATCTACATGATTTAGTTCATCAGTTCTCCATCTGCTTTTTGCCTAATGTAATGATTTCCTTTAAATTTGTTTTTGGGGTGAGGGGGGCTAGAAAGATGGCTCTGCAGTTAGGAGCACTGGCTGTTCTTCTAGAGGACCCAGGTTCAATTCCCAGCACCATGTGGTGACTGTCACTCCATTTTCAGAGAACCTACTGCCCTCTTCTGGCCTCCAAGAGCACTGTATGCACATGATGCACAAACTTATATGTAGGCAAACACCCACACGCATACAAATAAATCTTAAAAATGCTTTTGATATCTATTATCTGTAGTATCCTCATTGTCTTTTTCTTTTTTAATTTTAATGTAATAACTTTGCAGAGATTAGGAAAGAGGATTAAACAAATGCAGTGCTCTGTTTATTTCCAACTAGATGGTCCCTTCTGTTTCTGCCCCTGACACACACACACACACACACACACACACACACACACACACACCGGCCCCCGTGATTAATGTCCAATATTCTCTTGCTTACAGCATGGGCCTAGAAAATACTTGATTATTTCATCATCCATCCTTTAAACTAGATTTGCCCTATCTTGAGACAAAAGTGTACCAGGCCTATGTATTCCTACACAAGTATATTTATTCAAGCCACCAAAACATTTCTTACAAAATTTGTCTTGAAAAATTTAAACTTATGGAAATCCCAGTAATGAATGAGTTCTTCTCAATTCTTCCTCACTCAGGAACTGTCTACATTTTGTTGCACTTGCTTGCACTCACTCTCGGGGATCCTGTAACTTTCTGCCCCTCCATTCGTCAACTGGGGAAATTCAGCAGTGATACAGTTGTCTAACAACCATATTCAGATCTCAGTGGTGATTACTGCAAGTTCTTCTGTAAAGACCCAATCAAAGCTCACTCCTTCTGTTTGTTATTTTGTATCTTTGATCACATTAAGGTGAAAGTCTTGTTATTTTGTTCTGGTGATTCTGAAGTCTGTGATGGGTCCTGGCCTGTTGTAGAATCCAGTTCTTCTTTTTCTTTGTTTCCTTTTGTTTTTTAAAGATTTATTTATTTATGATGTATACAGTGTTCTGTCTGCATATATCCATGCAGGCTAGAAGAGGGCACCAGATCTCATTACAGATGGTTGTGAGCCACCATGTGGTTGCTGGGAATTGAACGCAGGACCCCTAGAAGAGCAGTTGGTGCTCTTAACCTCTGAGCCATCTCTCCAGCCCCCCCTCCCAGTTTTTTAATCTACACAGTTAGTGTGAGTTCTTTGCTGTTCATCTTTTCAGAGGGCACAAGGTGTTTCTTAGCTTCAACCATTTGATTAGGTGATGTCTGCAATCTTCTCCACTTCCCAAGAAGAAAGGGACTTCTTTGTAAAGAATATGAGACCCGAGGCTAGGAGATGGCTTTGCAGGTAAAAGTGCTTGTAGAAGAAGCATGAGGATAGGAGTCATCCTTCCAAATCCACGTAAAAAGCTTGATGTAACATCATGCACTGGAAATCCCAGAACTCCTCCAGGAAGCTTGAGGCCAGCCACCCAAATACTCAGAGCAGTAGACACCAGAGGCCCTGTAGCAGTTGGAACGTGAGAACCAACTCCTGAAAGTTGTCCTATGACCTGTACACATGTACACAACCACACACATACAATAAATTACATCAATCACTCAATAAATCTATAGATGTTAATACATGCTTATGTCTGTGTAATGTTCATTGCTCTCTTTCTCCCCTGCCTCTCTCCTCTCTCCTCTCTCCCCCCCCCCTCTGTGTGTGTGTGTGTGTGTGTGTGTGTGTGTGTGTGTGTGTGTGTGTGTAGTTTTGTAATTCTGGGAATCAAGCCCAGGGCATCATGCATGCCAGTCAAACACTACCACCCAACCCTGCAAAATAACTTAATTCATCTTAGTCTCAATAGAAGCAAAGCTATTTTAATGTGTGTGGCAGTTAAGTTGGTTATAATATACATCATATAGTTCAGTCCTATCTGAGAAGAGCTAAAGAGCCGTCCATATCTCACTAGTCAATGTATCACAGATAATAAAAACCCAGAGACAGATACTGGGTTTCAAGCTTCAGAAAAGCAAAGCAGCCACACAGTATAGAGTTTTCACCTCTACAAATGCTTGGACCAAAGGGGTAATCATGTCCTCTGATTGCATCTCCTAACTGCACTGCTCCTCAGACTGTCTAGATTGCAAGGAGTTCCTTTCTCTTCCGATTATATTCCTCTCTCCTCCCAGCCATATTACCCCTGTCTCCACCTCCCTAGTGCTGGGATTAAAGGTGTGAGCTCCATTTCTCTTTTAGACTGATTCACTCTCATGTAGTCCAGAGTAACCTTGAACTCACTAAGATCCATCTGCCTCTGTCTCCTGAGTGCTGGGATAAAGGTGTATACCACCACTGCCTGGCCTCTGGCTGTGGCTAGCTTTGCACTCTGAACTTCAGGCAAACTTTGTAAGGTCATAAACAAAATATCACAAGTAAGTGTCATTACTAACTGAATGGCTTAATCCCCGGGAATGTTCTTTCCTGGTGTCCTTAGAGGGTGTTTTTTTGTGGCAGCCATTGTACAAGGGCATTGTATTGTGGATCATTTCCCAGCAAATACAAAGCATCTTGAGGTAGGGAGGGGGCGTCATTTCCTAATCTACACAGGTTCCCATTGGCTTTAGATATGGGGAGTATATCATAATGATCTATCACTTAAGTAAATGGCCATGTTTAAGGCAACAGTTGGGGAATACTAGAGCTACATAAGTAATAGAGAAACAGGTATGGACCTGGGAAGTAGGAAAGCCGAAGCTCCCAGGCAGGACTCTGAGTCTGTAGCAGAAAGCAGACACGCAGGTAGAGAGCTCTGCTTTAGAACATGGAAGATCAATGTGTTCTTAGAAAAATGAATCATAGCAGGTGAAGAGTGGTCAGCTCCAGGACTTGACACTCTAGCTGAGGAGTGTGTTAGGAGTGCTTGCACTGGGATAGCCAGCCATGGGGAAGCTTTGGTGAGACCCTATGAACACTCAGGAAACAAGGGCAGGGGCAGAGCTGGGAGAAAATGCCTTATCCAGGACTGTCTAGTATTGAAAACATTCAGGTGGTTGTCTCTATCCCTCTGTCTCTCTGAGCATTATCTCCATGGTGATGAAACACCAACAGACCAACCCCTTATCTTGTCTCTGAACACCACAGCCATGTTGTGTCTACCGGAACAGACACTGAAGAAGAGAGACAAGGTATCAAAGACATATGTGAACTGGACAGTTGTAAACATGGGACTGGCTGCACCTGTCTCTCCCTCTCCTCTCTCTCCCTCTCTCCTCTATCTCACTTCTTCTCACACACACACACACACACACACACACACACACACACACACATGCCACAGAGTGACACTACATTTAGCTCATTGTTTCAAAGGCTTGTGTGACTTCCATTCCTTCTCCTGACTTGGATGTGCTTCAGGAGCAGGTTCCAGCCCTTGGGAAAGTGCTGTTCTAAGGTGCTGTATGTGAAGCAGGATGGATTCTCAATAAACACTCCCTATGGAAAGGATAGGGCAGGCCCTAAAGACTGACTCAGGCTTCCCCAGGAAAGAGAACAAAGAACAGCCTGTAGATGGGGTCTTTGCTTCTCATTAGGTTGTCTGTTTTAATGCAATGGAAATAATTCTTAATCTAATCACCTTACTGTAATCAATGTGTAATTTCAAATTCCTGTGCTTGTTAATAGCTTGAACTCCAAGGGTAGGGTATAGACCAGTGGGAGAGCTCTTACCTAGTATGTCAAAGGCCCTGGGTGCAATCTTTAATGCTGCCATAAAAGAAAACAAACAAGCTTGGCTTCCAACCATAGATAGGGGTTGCATAGGGAGTGCCTGTGGACAGAGAAGGTTGACTTAAAGTGTTAATAATAAAATCTCTTATTGGTAGGGCATTTACTGTATGTATGCCAGACATTTGCTACCTGGGTAGCATGCACTTTGTATTAACTTCCCCTAAGGAAGTGTCTTAGTCAGTGTTCTATTGTTGTAAAGAGACACCGTGACTACAGCATCTCTTATAAAGGGAAACATTTAATTGGGGCTGGCTTATAGTTCAGAGATTTAGTCCATTATCATGGCAGGAAGCATGTCAGCATGCAGGCAGACATGGTACTGGAGAGGTAGCTCAGAGTTCTACATCCTACCATCCACCTGCACAAGGTCACTGTCAAAGGCCTGGTACCTCAGAGGCAGGAACAATCCACAAGGTCATCCATCTGGCTTACCTCCTGTCAACACTGAGCAGAGGTGGAAACCCAGTGTTTGCAGCCACCCACCAAGCAGTTGCTACTGGTATTGAGTGCTGTCATTTTGGAGTGGGCTCTTCACAAGCAGCCCTAGGACTAGGTCTACTTATCAAGGTGTACAGTAGCCTGAGGCTGGGTCACATCATTGCCACATACCCATCCCTTGTCTCCAGGGCAAAGGAGTAATTTGAACAATGGGCTTTATTTCCTTCTGATACAATAGGAATGGAAGACATCTAATATCCCAGTGGTCAGCTTCCCAACTGCTCCATGTTCTTCATACCACACACCCTCTTCACAGAACAACAACACAGATAAAAAAGCAGCCCCACGTGACTCTAGAATTTTCAGTATGATACACAATTTTAACTAAAGTCATAGGACATTTCTTCCTTGCCCTCCCAAAAGTCCCCACAGTTCCTAATAACAAAAAATGGTCCGAGGGCAGAGGGAATAAAATCAAAGGAAGTAGATTCCACATCCTGGTGGCATTTATCGCTGCTGCCTGTGGCCCTGTGTTGAGCAGCTGACCTGATGTCCTTACAGCTAAGTCATCGTTCACCTTTAATGGAGTATGTGACTTCGAAAGCCTTTTTGGACTGCAGAGGAGAGAAAATGGTAATGGATAGGGTCATCCCTTATGTTGTCTGTGTTCGTTTTCGATCCTTGCCCTTTCTGATTCCTAGAGTCATAAAGGAACTGAAGGCCAGAGGGATTTGAGGGGCTTCTCCAGATAAGACACCAGAAACCCCAACATTTGAGCAACAGATTGCATTGTCCTGGAAGCAGTATGCTGAAGCATCACTAACTATTGTTTCAAGTTGAGACACTCAGCGATACTGAGCGAGTGCCTGAGCTCCTGGTCTTCAGACAAGTGCATAGCTTTGCTACTCTGAAGAAAGCAGCTGCCCCAAGCCTTTTACACAGCATGACAGTTCTGCTGGTACTGGACTGTGAAGGCTGGCCTGGGAAGGTGCTGCTTACACAACACCAGGAAACACACATCTGTAAACCCTCAGCATGCTCCACTGGGCAGAACGGAGGAGGCTGCTGTGAGTATAAGCTATGTGGACACCATGATTTCTGAAGTCCTACTTGTGGCTAGCTTGTGTTTGTTTGTTTGTTTGTTTGTTTGTTTGTTTGGCTGTTACTGGTTTCCAGAACTGGAAAGGGCTTTTAAAGTCTTCTAGATAGTTTTCTATGCTGAAAACAATTCAACATAATTCTTACTTAGTTCTACTTTTACATTTTAGATGACAATTTTAAAGGGCACTACTGACCTTTTGTAAAATTTCTTGCTACCTGCTAGGCCTGGGGTTCAGTTGCATCCCAGATACTCAGGAGACTAAGGCGGGAGTATCCGGAGCTCAAGGCCTGACCAGACTGTATGTAGTGTGAGCCCCAGGCCAATGTAGGCCACTTAGTAAAATACTGTTTCAAAATAAAGCTGTGGAAAGAGTGCCGGGGAGTAGCTCAGGGACAAGCACTTTCCTGGGCTTTATGACTCTCTGGGTTCAATCCTTGGTGTAACAAATAAAAGGTTGCTATATGAATCAGTGTAGTCTGCTGACAGATCTTTCGGTCTCATCTCTGTGAGAACTTTGTTCCCTACCATAGATACCATAAATGTACTGGTTGTTTTTCTAGATGCTGTGAAATGCCTGACAGAAGCAATCAAAGGAAGGATCTGTTTTGAGTCATAGTTGGAGGGGACACAGCCTGGGGTGACAGGGAAGGCATGGCAGCAGACATATAGGACATTCATATGGTGTCCCAAATCAAGAAGCAGAGAATGGTGACTGATGCTGCTTGGCTTTCTCTCTCTCTTCATCCTGCCCAGGACCCCACATTTAAGATGGGGCATCTCACCTCAATTAACCTACTCTAGACACATTCACAGATGTGCCCAGAGGTTTGCCTCTGTGGTCATTCTAAACTCCATCAAGCTCAATCAATTCAGATTGATCATCATAGCAGGCCAGAACCCCAAGGTCCCTTTTCTGTCTGCTTGATGCAAGGGGATGAGTTGAGCCTTTCGTGGGGCTGTTCTGTGATTTTGGTGAGAAAAGGGAGAGGCTCTCCCTCTACCCCTTGCTTGGCTTGAGTCCAGTTATCTGACACTGTCCCCCTACTCCCACCTTTGGACCACTGGGGTGGACCGTGGTTAGAATTGAGCTAATGGTTTCTCCATGGAAAGCAATTTGACTATTTGAGGGCTTACAGTCACATTCTCAGACCCTTTGGCATCTTTATGTAGACACTTGGGCTTGCACCTAGGAAGCCATGCTGGTGACTCTTCACTCAGAACTACTTTTTGTGGTGGGTTGCAGAGGGGCCAATGATTCCCTGTCAACTCAGACCACTCTTGCAGTCAGAGGTATGGTTCCTAACAGAAGCAAACTGAGTTTGGGACCCCAGTATTTCCCTCGAATTCTAGGGTTTGTCTTCTAGGGCTTGTGCTCATGTATTCCATAATCACATTTCTCAAATATTAAGCAGTATCTATAGATTGCAGAGCAATTGATTACCAGCGTGTGAGCCTCAGATCTACTGTTGTAGGGCAGCCCAAAGCCTACCAAGGTGACTTGCCTTCCTCTGCACATCTGGGGTTCTATGTATTGGTGAGCTCAAATGTTATAGTAACCTGGAAAGTAATCAGCAAATGGCCTTTGATGGCTTAGTGGGGGGTTTTCTTCTGTTCTCAAATAACAAGCTTAAATGTCACAAGAAATATACATATACAGAAAATACATGGATTCAGCATGGCTAACAAGGTTGAATTACATCCAGTACTTGAGTTGTCTGAGCTTTGCTGGCCTTTAATTAGAGGATGAGGATTGGAGGCTCATTAGCCAATGTCCCCCTTCCAGAATGGTGCAGCTCATACACTACTAGCCCCCCATCCTCAAGCTGTCCCTAATCCATTGCATTGGACTTTTATGAACCCAGATGTGGTCTTGTAACCTTTCTCAACACAAAAGGAAACCCATGGGACTGGCCACTTAAGAGAAACTTACACTGCAGCTCCATTTCAGGTAGCTTCATCTAAGAAAATATCAGTGTCCTCCTCTTTCCTCAGTTATACAGACTCGTGCCCAGAGAGCTGCACTGTGTGTGTGTCATAGCTTGGGCATTACTGTCAACATGGCTGATGTTGCTATTCACAACCCAGACTTACAGCATATGTTGTAGGAGCCACAAGAGTGAAAAGGGTCCAAAGTCTCATGCAAATTCAACTTCCAGACACAATAAACTGTTACAGACACTGGCTTTCAGTCAATGCATAAAGACACCATTAGTTTGGAGAACTGAGTGCATGGAGTCTTTTAGTTGAAGTTTCAAAAAAAGTCTTTTTGGTTGGAAATGAAATATGTTTTTTCAGATTGTGTTTTAATACCTCAGGACATGAAACCCAAGGCTCTGTATTATGTGTTTTTATTCACAACTGAACCAACAGTGAAACCATTAATTGAGTACTTACTGTTTGCTGGTTGCTATGATCATTATTTTCAATGTGACTTGTATATATATTCATTTGTGAGAGTTGCAATAAATAAATAAATAAATAAATAAATAAATAAATAATGTCATGAACTGAGTGACCTCAGCCACAGGTAGTGATCTCTCACAGTAGTGGAGGTTAAAAAGTTTGGTCTCGCTGGGCATTGGTGGCACACGCCTTTAATCCCAGCACTTGGGAAACAGAGGCAGGCAGATCTCTGTGAGTTCGAGGCCAGCCTGGTCTCCAGAGCAAGTGCCAGGATAGGCTCCAATGCTACACAGAGAAACCCTGTCTCGAAAAAAAAAAAAAAAGTTTGATCTCTGAAGGTCTAACTTCTTGGCTTGCAGATGGCTCTGTCCCCAGGGTCCTGCAGTGTGTCCAGGTCTTCCTAAGGACATCAGTTGGTTAGGTCAGGATCCACGGTGAGGGTCTCACTTGAGTCTAAACACCTTCTGAAAGACCTGGGCTTTAGACTGTCACCACTTGAAGTAATGTGTGACTTCAACACCTGAGACAGGGGTGAGGGTTGGGGGAGCCCACAACGCGGGGGGGGGTTGCAGGGAGGGACAGGGGGGCATGCTTCAGCCCACAATAACATTGATGCCTTATAAGTTTTATAATGAGTTTATTGCCACTTTAGAAAAACAGAAATAGAGATTGCTCAAGGCGAACAATGAGCCTGGTGAGTCTAGCACACTTGCACATGCTCAGAGTTTCATAGTCACAAAGTGTGTCACAAATAACATTTGTTTTATGGAGTGAGTTTTTAAGAGACATATTCAGGCTTCTAGATTGCTTTCAAGAGAGATGCCTGTGTTGAACACGTTTGGTAAGCTCACTTCTTGGGCCCTCGAGTTTCTTGTCTATGAGAGTTCTAATAGGACCTGCCTTATAGGACTGTTCAGTGGGGACTCTGGGGTAGCTCACATAAATGCTTAAAACCATGGTTACATGTGGTAGGTACCCAATATTATTGGTCACTATTTGTGTGTGTGTGTGTGTGTGTGTGTGTGTGTGTGTGTGTGTTTTGTCATGAGAAGGATGCAATTTTAGATGCAACCAAATGATGGTTAGCATTCCATATTAGCATCTGCAAGTGTCATCGGCTGCTTCTGTGGACCCATATATTATCACAGTTTTAAATGTTATCATTTCAGTGCGCTGTGTCATTTTACATTGGCATCATGTCAGAGGCCAGTGTAGTATGTCAAAAGGTTTTAATTCCTTGGCTGGGTGTCATAAATGTGGCACAGCACTGTGAATCAGACCAACAGTGTCTGAGTATAACATATGTTGGGCATGCAAGTGGCTTTTTCTTGGAGTTAGGTGACATGATAGCTGTTGTGGCTGCCAATTTTTTTTTCTCAAACTCCTAAAAGACCATAAAAAATGATAATTATGCCCCTAAAACCAGTTTCCAAATGTTCTTGGTCACCATGGAATGGAGGAATGGCCATGCAGTCATTTGTTGGTCTGAGCCCCAAATTAGGCAAGCAGAATGCTGGGGGAGAGCATCTTAGAGCTCCAGAGCTGTGCAAGCAAGCACACACTGGCAAGCAGCCTTCAGTGCTCTTGGTTTTCTATTCCATTTTGTTTTTAAACTTTTTTTTAATTTAAAAAACTTATTCATGCAATATATTTTGACTCTATTTTTTCTTTCTTTCTCCCAAATCCTCCTCACACCCCTACCTACACAACTTTCAAGTTATTTTTTTCCAAGTTCTTTAAAACAAACAAAACCAAAATGGTAACAACAACAAAACAATAAGAAGCATACTCGAAAACAAAAATTGAAATAAACAAGCAAGAGACTGATAAGACAAAAAAAAATACACAAAGCAAAATGAGACAAAAAGTCTAGAAAAATACCTTTGAGTTCATTTTGTGTTGGCCAGCTACTCCTGGACATGGGGCCTGCCCTGAGGCATGGTTAAGGTACTTACTCAGTGAGACTTCACTGAAGGAAACTCATTTTCCCTTTGCTCTAGAGTATCACTTGCAGACAGCCTCTTGGTTATCGATGTGAGCCTGTGTCAACTACCCCCTCCCAGGGCTGGTACCCCCCCCCATTGATCCTATGCAGGGTTTGTGCATGCTTGCACAGCCTCTGTGAGCCATTCTTCTGTTCTTGAGAACAAACTGGAGGCAAATCAGATGAACTAGAGACAATTAAAGATGCTTCATCTTTAGTTAGCTAGTGGACTATTGTTTTTCTTATGCCAACAAAAATAAACAATCTAACAAATAAGTTATTTTGACCAATGGGCCAATTTTATATTTCCTTATCACAATTTACTTTGAGTAGACCCTGATAGAAATATAGAACTTTCAGGCCAGGTGTGATAGCACATACCTTAATCCCAGCACTCGGGAGGGACGGAGGGAGGGGCAGGTGGATCTCTGTGAGTTTGTGGCCAACCTGGATGACATGATGAGTTTTAGGACAGACAGGGCTACATAGAGAAACCCTGTCTCAAGAAAAAAACAAAACAAACAACAACAAAACAAAAACCCAGAACTTTCATAAAGGCATGGAAGGGTGTTCTATTC